CTAGAGTCCAGGGTCAGTGTTCTTCATTCCATTTTTTGCCAAATCCTAGCCAAAGAGCTGGTGTAACTACAGAGATGTGGAAGTAAATTTATCGTAAACTGCCTCAATGCAGCTTAGAAGGGAAAGTCATCCAATCATCACAGAGCTGGCCTCTGACAGCCCGTCACATTTTCCACTGATGCGCTGGACGTGACTATGCTGCACAGGAGTTTACTGTGGGAGCTGGATTCCCTTTCACTGTGCTCAGCAGGAAGGGGCCAGCATCATCCTATACCCATGTCATGAACCTGACATACCCTTAGTAATGGAAGAGGAGGCCTGGCATGTCACCAAGCACAAGCTTTCAGCTTAGCCTGCACACCCTGTGAAATTTTAATTATTACAAGGTCCAAATTGTACCCAAGGTGCAGGGAGACCGAATTTCCAGACAAGAAAACAAGACACGTTGCTATTTCAACAGCCATCAGTCACAACACTGGACAGCAGGGCTCAGTGGATATCTGATCATCCATAAAAGTTACAACTTAGAAGATGAATTTATTATCAGTCGGTCCCTTAGCATTTAACACAGAAAATTTAGAATCAAGGACATACATACTGACAAAGATATTTATGCTAAACACAAAAAATTTTCATTGCGTCTCAAGTTTAACTTTCTCTGCTAGAAAGTAGAATAAATGTGAAGAAAGACACATTTTAGAGGAAGAAAGGAGCTAGCAACATAGAAGCTGGTTTTGACCTTCCTTTTAAATTTACAGTTTTTCTAGTCTGATTTTTAAAAAAAATAAAACTTCATTTTTTCTATTTTGCTGTACATATTCTTGTACGGTAAATCCTCTCGTGGATTCAAGGCAGGGAAATAAATGAAACGATAATACAGGAGCTGGTGGACTGTCTGCCCCAGTCACCCTCACTTTCTCCACGTTCCATCACTCGGGGCACGCGGAACTCAGGTTACGTGAATGATGCCAGCAGAGGCAGGAACTTCTTGTACTTCATATTCAGGATAACTCTAGGGACCTAAACTCCCCAAAATTTAGGCAGGAAGAGAATTTTTTGAAAGGAAAAACACCCGTAACCAACTTCTAACCTGGAGACTTTAGCCAAAATATGCTGTCGAAAGCAGGAGAGAGGGAGGGTGGCTGTAACTGGGTAAGGAGTAGGGTTTTAATTCTTCACAAGCAGAGGGAGGAGGATACCAAGATGGTTAGTCAGTCAACAAACATTAATCCTCATTAATGTCTCCCATGCAAATCCATTCTCCTCTGCCCAGCTGTGCAAATATAAATTAACTGGGGCGTTTTGATGAAGGGATACAAGAAAAAAATTTTTCATGTGAGGCAAAGGAACTAAATGGACAAATAAGACATACTTTAAACGCGTGGGAAGGATTGTTCAAGCTACCACATCATAGACTGAAGGACATACACTCAAACTCACACCACCGGAAACGTCCCTGTGTGAGCAGCTACCAAAGAGAAGAAGGAGGAGATGGGGCCATGTTCACAACAAAGCATGCAATAAACCGCCAGAGGGAAAAGAGCGGCACTCACTCCCGCCAGGCACGATGCTGATGACTTTATAGTGGCATTTCTCACTTTACACATAAGGTAATTGGGGACAAAGACATTAAACAAATTGCCTGAGTCATTTTCAGTTCAGGCCTACCGACTCCACACACCATGTTTCTAAGCATGACGTTGTCCTCTTTTCTATATACTTAGCCTTATGCTTGCATTATGGAGAGCAGAAAAAAGCTAGGGCCATTTCTTGCCCTTAACAAATTTACAACCTGACTGGGGAACCAGGATGGACACGTGGAATAATCAGAAAATAGGACCAGGAGCATAGCACTAGGGTCTGCCTTTTTTAGGTGAAGGGAACAATTTATAGGAGCTGGGGCGAAGTGGCTATAATTCATCTGTGCAACTTTTGAGAATGATTTCCAGCAGAGTCTAAACTAAAAAACAAGATACAGGGGCCAGCCCGGTGGCTCAGCGGTTAACTGTGCACGTTCCACTTTGGTGGCCCAGGGTTCGCCGGTTCGGATCCCGGGTGCACACCTATGCACTGCTTGTCAAGCCATGCTGTGGTAGGTGTCCCACATATAAAGTAGAGGAAGATGGGCATGAATGTTAGCTCAGGGCCAGTCTTCGTCAGCAAAAAGAGAAGGATTGGTGGCAGATGTTAGCTCTGGGCAATCTTCCTCAAAAAAAAAAAAAAAAAAAAACCAAGATATAGACAGAAGACCATACTTTAGAAAATACTGATTCATTCCTGCCATAGTATGGTTTAAATGTTCAAAAAGGACTCTCCCTTTCAGAAAGCTCTGTTAAGAAAGGACAGGAGGATGGTCAGCCCATCCCCCAGCTTCATTTACGGGTTAATAAAAATGCTCCTGGAAACCCAGTCACAACAGAGGAGAGAGAAGTTCCTGAGCTCACTGTGACAGTGGTGTGACAACTCCCCCCAGGCTACAGAGAATAGGAAGCAGGGAGGAAATGATTTGCATGATCTTTTCAGTTCTTTTCATTGGAAATTCCCCATGCTGGGCCTCTGACTAAAAGGAGCAGGTTTGAGCCAGGGACCTGTGAACATTCTCAGAAGAAGAGCAAGGCTCCAGAAACAGGAAGAATGAGCACAGGTATGCCATAAATTCTTCTGAAATTTACTCCAGATTCATGACCCTCATGCCTGTATAAGTGTGTGGGGAACTATAATAATTGTTCTCAAGCAATCTACTTCCATTCACTTTGCTATATTTAAATCTCTGTTGTGTTCTTAATCTTCCATTTCAAGTGTACATGAGTTTAAAAATCACTGCACTTTTAAGTGGGATGATGTGTTGCTGTGGTGGGGGAAAGTCATAGATGAGTCATCATAGTGCAGGCAGGACACGAGTGCCTGTGATGAGCACCTTTCTCCCTGCTGGATAAAATTCAGTCTGAAGAGCTGGGGAGCAGCTGGGTGGCTGACACTGCCTCCTGACTCAGGTTTCATGAGGGATCAGGTAAAGATTCAAAAACAAATCTGTGACATTGCTGGGGTGAATGGTCGGTCAAATGTACAGAGGGAAGGGCGGGCAGGCTCACTTTTCAGGCAGGCTCCCAGGTCAGCCTTGACACTCCTGAGAGCCCAAACAGCATCAAAGTCTTTGGGACAGAGTGAACAGTCCCAAGATGTCCTGACCAAAAAGCAAAGAGCTCAGTTTAAGCTCCCAGTCAGTGTGGTCAACTCTACAGAATCATAGAATCACCAGGGCAACCTTGAAAAAAATATCCATGCTGTGCCCTACCCTAGCCATTCTGATTCAGAGGGTCTGGGGTGGGAGGTGGACACTGTAATCCTAACACATAACCAGGGTTAGAACCATCTTACTGACCACGGCCATGTCTGAGATGCCACATGCATCAGGGAGTGAGGCTACTCAATCAACAGATGCTGAGATGAACAGAATTCTTCGGTTCCTTTAAAAGCTTACCCTAAAATTTATTTCTTTGTGGATCTTAAGAAACTAAGAGTGTGGGCTGCCTGGATTACAATCCTAGTTATACGACTTCTAAGCAACCCTGGACAAATTACATGACTTCCCTGACATTCCGTTTTCTAAGCAATACAACGGGGTTAATAATCAAACCAATATCACAGGGTAGTTGAGGTGCCTGCACAAAATCAAGAACGTAAATTATTTCGCCCAATGCTTGGCACATGTAAAATGCTCAGTAAATTATAGCTACCACGATTGATGATGAGGAAAGTAAAAATATACTAGCTACATTTCAATAAAAAGGATGTTTTTCTAGCTTGGGAGTTTATTTATAGGGCCAGGTTTCAAGGAATTGTGAAAAACCGGAACATGAGAGTTTCAGAAACAGTTCCCCATCAAGCACAGTTGAAGGAAGCAGGGCTATTTAGCCAGGAGAAGAAAAAGCCAAGAGTATACATGGTGCTGGCTTCAGATGCAAGGATCAGGTCGAAGATGGGGCAGCCCGATAGTGAGCATCTCTAGAGGAGGACTCTTAACTTAAAGAGGGGGGACCATGGATAGAATTCAGAGAGCCCAGAAACTTAGATTAAAAAAAAATATTTTTATTAATCTCAAACAGAAATTTAGCATTTCCTTCAATTATTAATAGGGGCAACAGACATTTCTATATATTACAGTCATGGCAGAGACCCTAAAATAGTATTTATATTTAGGATGACATAGTGCCCATAGGTTTGCCCAGGACTGAGGAGTGTCCAAGGACACGGGACTTGTAGCGCTAAAACTGGGAAAGTCCCAGGCAAACCATTCCCTCCTTACATTGATCACTACTTAGAAATTACTGTAGTTATCACGTTGCTGGATGCTATTAGCTAGTGTGTTAATAAAGAAGCACCTGCCTTCTTAATGACAATTTCAAAAAATATCTTGATAAACATACATCCACATAATCCGTGTCCTTTATAATGCTTTGTATTTCATTTGATGCACTTTAAAGCACTCTTCTGAGTCCACAGGCTTCATCAAATTGTGTCCATGGCACAAAAAACGTTAAGAGGAAAGAAACTGGGAGCACTGAGTGAAAAACGGAGGAAACCAGATTTAAGTTCCTTTAGGCCTTACAATCTAAAAACAAGGATAAGCTACACGGTAGAAGAGGACAGAGGCGTGTATCCCCAAAGGACACTAGATAATCAGCTGACGGAACCATTTTCCCACTGCCAAGAGTCTCTTTCTTGTAATCCCACATGGAGTAACCACGCAATCTCCCTAGTTTCCCCACTCCTGATGACACAGTATGTGTCTTTTGTTATTATATTGCAGACTTATCTCAATCTTGACAGCTATCAATTGGAGAATCTGTTAGGTCTACCAGATTCCAATAACTACAAATACTTCCCCTAAGAATCATAATTTCACAGAACGTAAAATTTTCCATGAATTAAGACAATGGAAATTTGGATTTTAAAAGATCAAGTTGAAAGAAATTATCAAAAGAGACTTTAACTCTTACCGGATACCACTGGGCTTCTGACAGACACCGGCTCCCATCTTGCCCAGTCACCACTGTTGACAGCCGTTCCGTTACTCTCCCACAGGGCAACAAGAGACCATTTCTCTTCTGATCAATGTAACTCCAAGCTCCCAGCCCAATGTGACCAGAAGGCAGAGTTCTCACAATTGCCCTTGTCCCAGTGTACACAGATTTCTTAACTTCCCTGTCATTTTTACAAAATCTCCTCACTAACAAAGTGGATCGCTCCTTTTTGCTTTTGAAAAAATCTTCTTCTACATCTTCACAATTATCAGGGAAGTCTTCCAAATGGCTCAGAAAGGTCTTCGCAGGAGGACTGTCAGTAAAATCCTCCTTGCAAAAGCTGTCGCTTGAAAATACCACATTGGCCTTCTGGCAAGAACCTTCAAAGCACAAGTATTTGTCATTCAAGGTGTCACAATGATCACACTGCAGCTGTCCATTCTTATTATCACAGTTTTTTGCCAATTCCATCAGTTTACAAGTATACGCCATGTAATTTTTCTTTTGCTCTCCACCAACACCAGGCAGTGGTACACAGTTTCCACAATCATCCAAAATCAAGTTATCTGACAGGGTACAGAAAGTGTCTGACATTCCTCTGTCAACTTCATAGTGAAAGTGAAATACCGCCATGTTGCTGTCAGAGCGTGCCCTGCTGGTATCCATGATCGCTGATTGATTTCCTAAGGGACTAACGTCCTTGGGAGGTCCGTCTATTTCCAGTTGAATTCCAGGGAACACCTTTCTTTCCAGTGAAGAAGGGATTCCAGTTTCCATACACAGGCCTTCCTCTGTGACAGAATCACATGTTTCATAAAACTGGCTCTGAGGAAGGTTTTTCAATATGTTGTTACAGTTAATGTTAAGGTTTTTCACAGAATCTGGCATGGTTTTCTCCCAGCACTTTTCATTACTGTTCTCGTCACTCATTATTTTCTCCCTTGCTATGGAGAAAATCTTGGGCAAGTTGCTTCCAGAAGATTCTTCTTTAAGTGTGTTCAGTTGTGAGATGGCATGAGAAGTTGGCCCACTCTGTCTGATAGTATGCACTTTTGGAACACTGATGTCTGAGACCTTTTCACTACTTTCATCAACAGCCCCTTGAACAGATATCACTTTTCTCTGAGTCACAGGTATGAGAACAGAAGCTGCCATTTCTTCAGAAGTCATCTTGACCAACACACAGGTTTTAGCTACTGCTCTGTTTCTCTTTCCTGGTGATCATGTCAAGATTTTCATAAAACGACTGATTATTAAAATAATCTCAGATATACAAGTCTTCTGAGAAAGAGTGACAATTTCTTTCATTCAGGTACCTTAACAGCCAAATAAATTTCCCCAGTTACAACTTCCTATCATGAGCAATATGTTTTTCTAGATAAGGGTTTTAAGGTGGTAGATCAATTTTCTTTCCCCTGTTATTTGAAGCAATTCTTTCAAAGACTTTTATTCGGGATGGCATTCTGCACCTTCTGATCCATCGCTGACTTACAATGATTTAAAAATCCAGTTTGAATGTTTCCTGTAAGAAAAAGGGATAATGTCAAACACTGTGGCATTAAACAAATTTTTTAAATGAAATCATAATTCTCAGCTAATGCAAAATATGAACCAATTTTGAGGAAGGAGTTTTGCAATCAGAAGTTAGTTTTAATGTCTTAAGTACTTATTTCCCCGATTTCATATTTCAGAAGTTGTTCTTCTAGCCAAGACGGAGTAACAGGGAACAGACTTATCCTCCTGCCTTAAACAACTGGAAAAAAAAGCAGAAAAAAAATGAAATAATGCTTTCCAGATACTGAACAACAGGCAACACAAAACAGTGACCCCTGAAGGAAGAAAAAAAACCAAATGAAGTGAACTCAACAAACGCCCTAGCTTCCAGCTTGAGAGTTTCTAGGCTACAGAAGAGGGAAGAGGAATTCAGGTAGAACCCAAGGCTGTGCCTGATTTAAAGAGAGAAGTTTGAGAGTTTAATGAGGCCAAGGAAGCTGGAGAAAGAAGACACATTAAGCAGAGAGGAGCAAAGATAAGGATGATAGCAGGCTTCTCATGAGAAACAACACAAGTCAGAAGAGAGTGGGGTAAATCTTCAAAGTACTAAAGGCAAAAATACTTCCAACTTAGAATTCTATGCCCAGCAAAAATATCTTCTGAAAACAAAAATGAAATAAAGACTTTTCAGACACATGAAAGCTGAAAGAATGCATCACTAGTAAACTTGCATATAAGATATGGTAAAGGCAGTCCTTTAGGCAGAAGGAAAATGACACCAGGTAGAAATCCGGATCCACGCAAAGGAATAAAAGGGTATAGAAAATGTTAAACACGTGGGTGAATATATTTTTTTCTTACTTTTTAAATCATTTAAGATAATTGACCATTTAAAGCAAAAATAATAACAATGTATTGCGGGGTTTCTAACAAATGCAGAAGTAAAATGTATGACATCAATAGACAAAGGTCACAGAGGGGAAATGGAAGAATATTGTTATAGGGTTATTTTCTAAATGAATTGGTATAGCATTTATTAAAGGCAGGCAGTCATAAGTTAAAGGTATATATACTATAAACCCCAATGCAAACACTTTAAAAAGAGATATAGGTAATAAGTCAAGAAATCAGAATCATAAAGAAATTTCCATTAATAAAAAAGAAGGCAGAAAAAGAGGAAAAGGTGAACAAAGAATAGATGTGAAAAATGGGAAAGAAATGGTAGATTTAAACTGCATCTTTAGGCAACATTTCTAGTTTTTTCTCATAAAATATAAAAATTTTTAACTCCCTCTGTTTAATTCAAATAAGAAATTATTCAGCTGAATATCAGTAGGCATAAAAATTTTCAATTTATGAGTGGCACTATTTAAAAAAATAATTTAGCCTGTCCTTATTCTCTAAATTATTGAACCCTGCTCTATGTTGGGAACTGTGTAATGGGCTAGATAGATAGCCAGTTCCTGCTTGCAAGACTATTGAGAGAGAGAAGGAACTGAACCAACTTCAAACTGATGTGGCAAGTGCAATTATAAAGCTTATACAAGGTACTGTGGGCTCATAGGGTGCCCATCATAAGCATACGATTCCTTTGTAGGCAAAGATGTTCTTCCAAAGGCAACTGATGAGCATTTATGCTCTGCTGTCAACACCAGATTTGCCCTGTCCTTGCCCTCTGCCACACAGATATTTCTCTCCCCTTTGCTTCTCCCTTTTCCACTTTCCCCAAAGAGTCATCAATTACCCTTTCTTCCCTTACGTATACGTCCCCTCAAGCACAACCACAAATTCTTACCTGCTTCCAGCACATGCAGGTTTTCACAACTACCTTGAAGGATCAGAGGACACCCTATCAAGCAGGGACTTTGCAGGGAATAAACCAGCCCACACAGAGCAGCAATGTCCTGGTTCAACATCCTGACCCTTTCTACCTTTCATGTACACCTTCCAACTTGGTTTCATTTTATTTTCTTTGGAAAATGCCTCTATTATTTTTGTAGATATATGCTCACTCTAAAACAATTCAAACAATGCAGAAAAATACAAACGACAAAAAATTTTTTTTAAACTTAACATAAATCCTACCACCCAGAGATAATCACTACTAATACTTTAAGGAATCTCTTTCTGGAATGCTCCCTATGCCTCAATATACAGAGAGAGTTATATGTACATAATTACACAAATAGCAGATCATATTGTACATGCTGTTCTATACTTGCTTTTTAAAATTCAAAACATGAACAGGTTTTTATGTCAAGAACTATACAGACCAATTAAAAAACAGGCATAGGATCCGAACAGATGTTTTTCCAAAGAAGATATACATATAGCCAACAGGCACATGAAAAGATGTTCAACATCACTAATTATGAGGGAAATGCAAATCAAAACCACGATGAGATACCACCTCACACACCTCAGCATGACTATTATTAAAGAGAGAAGAAATAAGTGTTGGAGAGGATGTGGAGAGAAGGGAACCCTCGTACACTGCTGGTGGGAATGTTAATTGATGCAGCCACTATGGAAAACAGTATAGAGATTCCTCAAAATATTAAAAATAGAACGACCATATGATCCAGCTATTCCACTTTTGGGTATATATCCAAAGAACATGAAAACAGTAACTCAAAAAGATATATGCACCCCTATGTTCATTGCAGCATTATTCACGATAGCTAAGACTTGGAAACAACCTAAGTGTCCATCAATGGATGAATGGATAAGGAAGATGCAGTATATATATATATACAATGGAAAGCTATCCTGTAATAAAAAAAAGATGAAATCTTGCCTTTTGTGACAACATGGATGGACCTAGAGGTTATTACATGAAGTGAAATAATTCAGATGGAGAAAGCCAAATACTATATGATTTCACTCATATGTGGAAGATAAAACAACAACAACTAGAGACATACATACAGAGAATAGACTGGTGGTTACCAGGAGGGAAGGGGGTAGGGGGAGGGTGAAAGTGATAAAGGGACACACTTGTATGATGATGTGTGGCAACTAGACCTTTGGTGGTGAACACCATATAGTCTACAGAGAAGTCGAAATATAATGATGCACACCTGAAATTTATATAATGTTATAAACCAATGTTACTGCAATAAAAAAATAACAAAATAATAAAAAACAGAACTATAGATAACTTTAATGGCTTATGGCACTAAATTGATTTCAATATCTTTACTCTATTTTTTAGAGAATTTCTTTAAACCAAAGCCTTCAGACTGACAGCTAATTCGACCATTATCACTTATGAGGAAGGTAACTCAAGGGAGGGGAGGAGGAAAACATTTTTGGTGCCTATGTCCTTTTCTAGGCACTTTGCAATTGTTATCTCATGTAATGCTCATTAATCTCTACAGGATAGCGTGATGGTTTTAAAATACATCCACAAATTCTTTGATATTCCTCCCTTCAAAAGGTGGAGCTTAATTCTCCTCCCTTGAAAGTGGTCTGTACTCAGCAACTTCCTTCTAACTTATAGAATGTGGTGAAAGTAACTCTATGACTTCTGAGAATAGGTCATAAAGTCATTGGGGATTCCTCCCTGCTCGTCCTCTGGAAGAAGTCAGCTGCCATGTTGTAAGGAGAGTTCCCTGTGCCAACAACTGAGGTCTCCTGTCAACAGCCACGTGAGTGAGCCATCTTGGAAGGGGATCCTCCAACCGCAGTCAAGGCTTCAGATGACTGCAGCCACAGTCTACATCTTGACTGCAACCTCATGAGTGACCCTGAGCCAGAAACACTCAGCTTAGCCTCTTCCAAATTCCTGACACGCAAAAAGTGTGAGATAACAAATGTGTATTGTTTTGAGGCACTAAAATTTGGGGTAATCTGTTGCACAGCAATAGATGACTAATAACAGATAAATTCTATCATCATCCACATTTGACTGATTAGCAACCAAAGCATAGAAAAGCTGTCACTTGCCAAAGATCAAACTGCTGGAAAATGATGGAGTCAGGATTCAAACCCAGGAAGCCTGACTCTAGAACCTGTGCTCTTCACCATAGATTATACTGCTTTCTTTGCTATCTAGTCTGGAACTCCATGGGTTTGAATTTCTGATGTCCCCGGGCTGCAGAGATTCATGGCTTCTGGGAGGAGTCTCTTTTGTTTGAGTCCGTCTCTGGAAGGCTGAGGTCTCTGTTTTGCCTCCAGCTGTAATCAGGAACGAGCAACATCACAGAGCGCTGACTCCCTGGAGCACTGATTCGGCTTCATCGCAGGTCATCGCTTTATTCAACAAGTTTTTGAGTGCAAGATTAAATAAGGCAGGGATTTTGCCCTTGATTTCCTTAGAAGTGCATAAATCATCGGTTAAGATACAGTGCAAATAGAGCTACAATCTGGGTTAACACAGAGGAGCAGCATCTACGTCAGATGGTGGGGACAAGGTGGAGGTGACTGCCAGGGAGAGTTTCCTGGAGAAGATGATGATCCAATGGGGTTTTGAAAGACACGGAGGAGTTAGCCAGAGAAAGAGGTGGGATAAACTTTTCAGAAGAGCAAATGTGGACTCTCACAGAGAGAATCAGTCAAACATTGGGACCCAGCACTTCAGGCAAATATTTAACCACTTTGGAGTTTGACTTCCTCTCCTGTAAAATAGAAATAAAATCACCTACTCCATAAGATTGTAAAAGAAACGGTTTGAAAACCAAAATCTCAGGGCAAATATTTGTTCTTCTATGCTTTGTAAATGTCTTGATGAGAGAGGATAACCAAAGTGCAGCAGCTCTGTTCTATCAGTGACTTGGTGTTGAACTTACTTTCGCCAGATGCACACATATCCTCCACTCACCAGGTCCACTCAAATTGGAATTTCAGTTCTATAACGGCAATCAACACCTTGAATTTCCACTGCATGACTGTGAGCTGGTTAAATTATCAATCTTGAGTTACACTTTCCACATCTATAACATCGGGATGAATCACACATACTTTATATGCCAGCAGTGCCTGGCCCATCAATAAATGTTAATTTTCTACCTACCTCCTCTTGGGCAG